ATGATCTCATCAGCGCTGCTGGGAGTTTCAGAAATTGTTTCCTTCTGAGAGTTTTGTAAAAGATTTTCTAATTTTGAAATTTTATTTTTCAACTCAGAATTTTCCAATTTGAGACTCTCAGTTTTATCAGAGTCAGAATCAAGATTCCTTTTCAGGTTTCTGAATTTAACTCTGATCTGCTGATATCTTTCCAGAATTTCGTTAAGGCTTTCAGCAAGTTCAGCCTTAGTAAAATTAATTGCAAAGTCAGGGAATACCTCTTCGGTGTCTGATTCAGAAGCTTCACTGCCTTCTGATATGTTAGCCATGAGAGCTATGTTTGCTCTCTCATCATCTGATTCTGAGTCAGCTTCAGACGAGTCAGAGTTATCCCATGTAGCCATGAGAGTCTTCTTCTTTTACCTTCCAAACTTCTTTTTGGGCTTTTCCCTCTGAAACTTTGGACAATCACTCTTGTAGTGTCCTTGCTCGTTGCATTCATAGCAGATGATGTCCTTGGTGTTTGGCTTTCTGCTTCCTGAAGAGCCTTCAGATCTTCTGTATCTAGAGGAGGAGTCTGACCTTCTGTATCTGGAGGAGGACTCATTCTGATCGGATCTTCTGGTATTCCTGAACTTTCTTTGCCTCTGCTTCCATAGTTGGTTCACTCTTATGGAGAGGAGGGAAAGTTCGTCTTCTTCTGATGAGGACCCATCAGAGGTTTCTTCAACAGCCTGCAAAACTTTGGAGTCAGATTTTCTGTTAGATTTTAAAGCTAAAGGCTTACCTTGCTTTTGAGGTTCATCAGCTTCTAGCTCTATCTCGTGACTTCTGAGGGAGCTGATAAGTTCCTCCAGAGAGATTTTGTTGAGATCTTTAGCTAACTTCAGCGCTGTAACCATTGGCCTCCACTGTTTTGGCAAGCTTCTGATGATCTTCTTGACATGATCAACAGTAGAATACCCTTTGTCCAGAACTTTGAGACCAGCCACCAGAATTTGAAATCTTGAGAACATCGTTTCAATTGATTCACTTTCTTCCATTTTGAATGTCTCATACTTCTGAATGAGCACAAGAGCTTTTGTTTCTTTTACCTGAATGTTGCCTTCATGCGTCATTCTGAGAGAGTCAAACATACTCTTTGCAGTGTCTCTGTTAGATATCTTTTCATATTCAGCGTAAGAGATGGCGCTGAGAAGAATAGTTCTGGCCTTGTGGTGATTTTTGAAGTCACACTTTTGTTGATCAAACATTGCCTTCCTGTCAATCTTCTGACCACTTGCATTCACTGGGTGCATGTATCCATCTGTCACCATGTCCCACAGATCAGCATCATGTGCCAGAAAGAAGCTTTCAATTCTGTCTTTCCAGTAATCAAAATTCTCTCCATCAAAGACTGGAGGTTTGCCGCTGAATCTGTCTCTATCTTCATTGTTGTCATTGCTGGTGTGTTGATATGTTCCTGCCATTGTGTTTTTCTGACGCTGGATCTTGTACTGACACGGTTAAGTGTTTTAGCTCAGAACCAGGCGCTCTGATACCAATTGAAGAAGTGAAAAACACAAGAAGGGGGGTTGAATTGTAAAACTTGAAATCAAATGCAGACAACACGTTATTTTTATCCTGGTTCGTTTGATCTCAAACTACTCCAGTCCACCCATCAAGGTGATTTCGCCTCTCTCCAACGAGGTCTTAATCCACTATATTCAACTGAATATTACAACTGCTTTAACAACTGCTAAAGCCTTCTTGAGTCTAAACCACATACCGGTTTCTCAAGGAAATTCTTTCTTACAGATAAATGAATACTATGTGTGTTGAATGTTTTCTACAAAAACTTTATATCACAACTGTGATAATACACAAATTAAGCTTATGTGTAACTAGGATGCTATAACTATAGAGTAAGCAATTTGAGAGATATAGCAAGCTGTATGAGTGAGGATGAAGATGATTTGCTTTAGGCGTGTAAAGAGTTGTAGAGCATTAGCCAATTCATTTCTCACTGACTTGTTTATATAGCCTTGGAAAAGATACGTTGTAGTCAATTATTCCATTTCAATGCCCATTACGTTCTTTCCATATTGAGAAGATCTTTGTCTTGGAATAAAGCCGTTGGTAATAAAGTGTCTTGAATGCACAGTACCGTTGTCAATTCAGCGTGTTATTGGCTTTGGCTTATTCTGACGCTTCTAGGTGCTGATGATATTGTTTTGGTCTTGATCAGAGTTTAGAGTATGTTAAGCGCAGATCTGTTCATCAAGCTTCAGCGTAAGCACATGCTTTGATCTTCTGATGCTGGCATATGATATTTCATCTATTTCATCTTCTAATGCTGATGTTGACATTCTTATGCTGATATCCATCAGAGTTTCTGTAAATGCACAATATAATTTTTAGGTAGCATATATGTCTCATATGAATTATACAATTTATTTAATCTTGCATTTTGTTATCATCAAAACTTTAACTTAGGGATGTAGATTTCAAACTTTGTTCTAACAAGTTAGAAAATAGCCCTTACCAATTCTCCACATTAGATGTTTAACTCTAGGCTGAACTTTAATATTCTGAGGCTACACCAATCCTCCTCCACTCTCCTATTAGCATGACTCATAAGTGAATTCCTCCATCTTATGTACCCAGCTCACACACTATAAGCACCATTTTTCTCTTCTCTCCAACCATCATATCTTCTTTAACATTCTCCAACAACGGGACCTATAAAATTTCTAAAGTATCTGCATGGTCAAACAACTCTCTTATGACCCTCGTATCCCTTTTTTTCATTAGGCAACATTATATTTTTAACAGTAACATCATACACACATTTCTTTTGGTGGCCACTTAGACAACCATCTTTTGTTCCTTGAAGCCAAGGTTCATTCATTGCCATGATATGCCTGTTATTCCCAATACTCCACCTGCAACCTAAAGTTAAAACTTCCATTGCTTTCCAAATTCCCTTCCAAACAAAACATGGATTATAACTGAGATTAGCATCAAAGAAATAAGTTCTAGGATAGTATCTTGCTTTGAAGATTCTGGATACAAGAGCATGTTGTTTTGTCAGTAGATGCCAACCCTGTTTAGCAACCATAGTCATGTTAAAGGCTTTAAAATCTCTGAATCCCAACCCATCTTCCTTCTTAGTATAAGCTAGCTTCTCCCACGACATACACTATATTCCACTATTATTACTACCCCCACCAGAAAGAATTCAATATCTTCTCAATGTTGTGAATCACCACATATGGAGGGATAAAGATACTCATTATATAAGTCAAAATTAATTGACGAACCAATTTTATCATAACTTCTTTCCCTGCTTTTGATAATGACTGACCTCTCTAGGAATTTTTTCTCTTCCAAATATGATCCTTAATAAAAGAGAAAGTATCCTTCTTACTCCTGCCAATCATTGAGGGAAAACCTAAATACTTTTCAATTCTCAACACATGACGAACTACCATAATACTAGCGAGATTCTCTTATGCCGATTTATTCATGTTACGACTAAAAAACACTTTAGACTTATTCAAATTAATCTTCTGACCTGAAGCACCTTCATAAGTGTTGATCAACTTCATTAGATATATCACTTCAGTTAAATTGGCCCTGAAAAATAAAAAACAATCGTCAGCAAAAAGTAGGTGGGACATGCTAGGTGCCCCTCTGGATATCTAGATCCCATGAATGCCACCATGTGCTAGTGCTATTTTCATAAGAGCTAAAAGGCCTTATGAGATCAGTATAAAGAGGTAAGAAGACAGTGGGTCCCCTTGCCTTAGTCCTCTTCCTGGTTGAATTGGTCCGACACGATCTGCATTAACTAGAATAGTAAAGTGCACCAAAGTAATCCACATCATAACCCAATGAATCCACCTATTTGCAAAACCATCCTAGAGAGCATACCTCGAAAGAAGCCTCAATCCACTCTATCGCACACCTTTTTAATGCCAATCTTGAGAGCCAATTGACCCTTACTACCTTTAGTCTTCCTATTGAGAGTGTAAATAACATCGATATCAATCATCACATTATCTAGAATAGAGCAGCCTTCCACAAATGTCGATTGTTCCTCCGCACCACACTTATCCATCAGGACCTTCATTCTATTTTCAAGGAATTTAGACACTAGTTTGTAAACCATATTACATAAAGAGATAGACCAAAAATCCTTCATGTTATGAGGTTTAACACACTTGGGAATAAGACAAGTATTTGTATCATTAAAAGACGCGGGAAAGAAACCTCTCCCCAACCATTCCGTAGCATCCTCCAAAATATTGTTCCCACATATGTCCCATGAATTATGGTAGAAATCTGGATAAAATTCATCAGGGCCCGGTGATTTGTCAGACCTCATTTCAAGTAAAGTTGCATGAAGCTCGTCCTTATAAATGGGTAACAACAGTATGCTATTATCCTCTACAGAAACTGTAGGTTGAATAAGGCTTAAGACCGAATCATACACACCTTCTTTGAATACAAAGAGATTATCAAAGTAGTTTTTTGCAATATCACACATACTCATATGTTCTCTAACTTCTTCCTCGCCTTCCTGCATGAGCATGTCAATCTTCTGAAAATTCTTTCTAGCAGTAGTGGATAAATGAAATTTTTTTGTATTGAGGTCCATATCCCATAACTAATTCATCTTGACTCTTTGTTTCCAATACATATCTTCCCTAATAAGCACCTTTTTATACTCCCTATGGTCTTCGAAGAAACCAGATGTTGACTCCAAATGCATGGTTCCAAGGATACATTTCTATCGTTTCCTTGTGTCTATCTAACTCGTCTTTCTTATTCTCGTTTCTCACTCTATTCCACTTCTCTAGCTCTTACGCACACAATTCTATACAATGCATTACATATTGGTTCTTTATATGCCTCCACCCATTCTACACAACCTCCTCAATTCCTTCTTCTTTTAACCAACTGTTTTTGAACCTAAAAACATGTTTTTTACGCCTTTGTTGGACATGATCACAGTATAATAAGATTGGACTATGATCCTACTGAGAAGCAATATGATTTACAAGATTAACATTAGGAAACAAGTCCATCCAATCCGAAGTTTCCAAAGCTCGATCCAAACTCTCCTCCACCAAATGGCCAGTGCCCCGACTTTTAGTCCATGTAAATTGCTGACCTTTAATAGGAATATCAGAACCAATTTGGGTGAGGGTGGATACCTTGCTTGTCTTGTTGAGACAATAAGTCATTAAAGTCTCCAATCATACTCCATGAAATACTAAACATATCTTGAATATCGTGCATCATATCCCACACTTGTCTCCTTTTACTTCTCCCATGGTACCCACAATAGCCTGTTAATCTCTACTCCCCCTTCATATCATCTTGAACTAAAATGTTAAAAAGTTCCATGTAAAATTAAGCACACTACATCATGTTGTATCTTTCCACATAACTGCTAGACCGCCACTCCTTCCCTCCACATCAAGAGATAAACAATCTTCAAACTTCAACATAACTCTAATGGTCTCCAACTTCCATGTTTTGGATACTGTCTATGATAATAATAGAATGTCTGGATGGTATTGCTGATCTAGCTTTCTGTTGAAACACTTTTACATGATAAGTATTTTCTTTATCATTTTCATAGGGATTGATGCGATATTACCATCGTTCTACATTGAATAATTTTTTGAGTAAGGGTTTATAAGAGGTTTTGGTATCGAAAAGTTTCAATTGCATGAAAATGAGTTAACAACAGTAAAAAGTTTTGGTTTTACGGATTAAAAAACATGTCAAGATTAGGTTTCGTTAACCTATTTCATACATATTTGATTAATCAAACATATGGACTTATTCATGATCAATATAATCATGTATCCTTTCAATATAATTTATGTCTAAACAATATTATGAGTATTATCATGCTAACCACTAGATGATGTCTCATGCCAACATTCAACATAATAATATTTAGAGCTTGATACAAGTGAATATCAACTCATAAATCTATGTCTAGAGTTTGTTCATTGATATATGAATATCTTAGGCCAAGGTTTGAAACATAATTTTCAATAATGATCCAAATCAAACAAAGAACAATAAAAGCAAAGATATTCACATATATTGATCATTAATCAAGTTCATACACAAAGGATCACAAGAAATACATAATAGATAGGTTAGTTACCTTTAATCTTGATACAAAAGAGGTTTAGCTACCCATCACCATCGTAGCTTAATCAACAAGCAATCAAAGAGAGATGGAAGAGCATCCAATATGTTTGAACAAACAAGAATATGAATCCAGCTCTGATTATCTGATTAAATGAAATTTGTGTTTTGTTCTTGGTTATAAACTTTTCTATGTCACAAAGAGTGTAAAAGATGGAATGAATCCCAAAAATATCTAACATGGTGCTATATATACACAAATTGTCCATGAAAAATCGCCCAGCGCCCAAAAGCCTCGTTAGGCAAAAGTCACTTATGAGCTCACGTGACATCCATATCGCACCCATGCTTCAGCAAAATATATGAATTCGCCCAATGCTTAAAAGCCTTGTTGGGCAAACCTCACGCTCCTTTCTCACTCTTCACTCACCCAACGAATCTGGTTAAATCCAAAGCCAGTAGCTATTGGAATTTTCTCAAACTCGCTGGCACAACCTTGTTGTTGCTTCGTCAGACGAAAATCCTTCCCCTCGCCACTTTCTCGCTGAGCGAGCCTCCCAAACCTCAACACTCAAATTTATTCAATTATTATTCTCCTAGACATGCTTAATATGGAAAATTTGGTTCTAAACTGATTCATAACTAACAAACACATTACAAACACAAAGATTATATACATTGATACTATAATCAAGCAAACTTAGAAACTTAATCATCAAATGCAATGAAAAGAGCTTAAAAATGTCAACTTTTGATATGAAAATATACACATATTTGACACCTAACAAACAGTCCCCAACTTGAATCTTTGTTTGTCCTAAAACAAAGGTAAAACTTAACAAGAAACAAGGAGAAATTTTGAGCATATAATTAACTTGAAAAATGCAGGGTTAAAACTTTACAAACACGCGTGCACAAGTAATTCTCAATTGCTTCTTAGAATCAAAACATGATTATGAATTAATTTCTAAACACAAACATCAAACAATGCATACTTAAGAAAAAACATGTTCATAACAGAATCACCTAACTCTCACTTCAACATTTGTATCAACAAATATGTGCAAATTTTATGGGACAAAACACTCTCACTAGCAATCATGCTAACATCCGGAATGATTCATGAATTCATATTAATAAAACAAAGAGAACATCATGGAAACAAAGTTCACTAAGGACTTTTCAAGGTTGTAGCTTGACTTGGTTTAACAACAAAGGATAATATATATGAGGCCATTGAAACAAATATGGCTTAAGATTATGAAGAGAATTTCAATAAATAAATTACAGCATTCATTCATGCTCGAACCTCAATTTATTTTCCATCTTTCGATTTCTTTTCTCACAGTGCCATCTTTCCTTTTTATTATTGATTTTCTATTTTATTTTCAATTTCTTCCTTTTTGTGTTTTTTCTCAAAATATGCATTGTGGCACCAATCTTCCTTTCTTCTCTCATTAAAAACCACTACCCACAACTTTAAACATTTCTTTAACTCAGGAAAATGCTCTTAGTTCAAATCTAATTAAACAAAGCAAGTCAAGTGTTTACAAACAAGAAAATTTTAGAATGAATCAATATTACTTTTTCTTTGATCAACAACAAAAGCATTAAGTGGTATACTTAATATTTTGTTGGATTTTGATTGATTCATCCAAAATTTGTATGTATCAAAAGGGTTCACTAATGTGCACACTCTAACAAGGTGGATTGAAGCCCTTTTTGGAATGGTGGTTATTCTCATCATAAAAACAATGATTTGATCCTTTAAGTTTCCATAATTTAAACAAGCATGCAATATTTAACATGAATCACACGAGTTAAAATAACAATTACTAGAAACCATTTATAATTTGTGAACAATGGAAGTCACTCACATTTGTGGTTTTATCCTAAATGATTCAAACATGGACAACGTTTGCAACAAGATACATGACATTATTTTTGCATAAAGCACAAAGTTCAAAAACATGCTAGCATTCTACAAAGCAATTGACAATGTATCTTAGTCGTGCATCTCATCAAGATTCTTATCATCACCATCATATTTTTGTGCTAACAACACACTTTTTAGTCTGTGAAGGACCAAAAAGATATATATATATATATATATATATATATATATATATATATATATATATATATATATATATATATATATATATATATATATATATATATATATTGTTTACCCTCAAGCCATTAAACATATAATTCTTCTTTTCATTATGTACTATCATGCAAATATCTTTGGCAAAAGTCACCTTATAACCATTTTCGCATAATTGACTAATTCTAAGAAGACTATGTATAAGGCCATCAACTAACATAACATCGGATATAATAATAGACGGAGGATTACTTATACTACCTTTTCCAAGTATGACACCTTTGTTATGATCATCGTAGGAAACATAACCTTTCTTCTTCGCCACAAAGTCAGAGAATAGAGAGATGTCTCATGTCATGTGTCTTGAACATCCACTATCAAGAATCCATTTACCCGTCATAGAGTCAAGATACTCAACCTACAAAATCAAACAAAGGCGGTTGGTACCAAATTCTCATTGGGTCCTTGGGAGTGAGTGAAAATTGATTGTATTTGGGAAACCATTGAAAAATACATTTAGGAACTAAGAAGCACCTAAATTTAAAGTTTTCAATAGCGTGGCCTTTCTTGCAACAACAGTGACACGATTAATTTTGATGAGATTTACTTTTATTTTTCTTTTAAAAAATAAAAGGTTATTTATTTGATAATCATTGCACTAACTTTTAAATTAATCAAATATTAAATAACAAATATCGTAAACATAACTTTCCATATTAAACTTCACATTTTTCATGTAAACCCGCGTTTTATTTTCCTTTTTTCTCTTTTATTAATTTTTTAAAATTTTAAACAATTTAACTCTATTCTTAACCATTTTATTGATTTTTTTTAAATTTTAATTATTCTTTTTTAATCATAATTAACCTTCTACGTTTTATGGACTTGAATAGGTCAAATGTTACTTTCCTTTTTAATTAAATTTATATGGGTTTGTTATTTTTTAAAAGAGATTAATTGTTAATCATAATTATTTTTTAATTAAATATTTTCTAAAATATTTTACACAACCAATGCATCAGAATTATCCATAAATAATTCTTTAAATATAATTTCAAAAAATAAATTAAACATCTATTATAATTTAATGGTTATGATTCACTGACAACGTAAAACTTCTTTACTTTGTCAATGTATTAAAATTAAATTCTTTTCAAAATAAAATTAAACAAATATTAAAAAAATATTATAGAAAAACATTTTTTTACTCCTATAATTAATCATATATTTAAAATCTATATTCTTAAATCACCTCTTTCAAAGTTGTTAAGTCTCTTCACAACTTTTTAGTCCCAAATTTGAAGATATATTTATTAATTATTATTATTATTATTATTATTATTATTATTATTATTATTATTATTATTATTATTATTATTATTATTATTATTATTATTATTTATTTATTATTACTTATAATGACATAACTAACCCATTATCTCCGTTAGCCCCTTACGCTAACTTCATTTTCCATATCGCATTATTTACTAATAAATTAAAATATGTGATTTTATTATTAATAATTTTTGTTATTATTAATTTATTTATTATATACAACTTATGTTATTATAATTCACTTCGAAATACACTTCTTAATGCAATATTTCATTCAACGTGAATCTAATTCTTCTATTTTATGAATACTAGTTCTATTTAAATAATTAAGACAAAAACATATATGATTAAAATTTGAGATAAATTAATACTTAACAAGGACACAAAAGTGAGGGAACAATTGATTAGGGTTTGTAAGAAATAAATAAATTAATAAATCAAGAAAATGTATCTATCTACTATCTATTTAAGAAACTTGATATCTAAATTATTTACATTTATATCTTTAATTAATATGGTGAAAACTCTAATTTAATGTTTATAATTTTAATTTATATATCCTAATTATGTCATTAATTTGTAATTAATTTTTACGATCTACTGCAATAATGACATTAGCTTATACATTCCATTTTTTGGGTGCATAAGAAAGTTGATAGCTGAATTATTTACATTTATATATTTAATTAATCTAATGACAAGCCTAATTTCATAGTTATAATTGTGATTTATATACCCTAATTCTATCATTAATTCGTAATTAATTTTTAGGATCTACTGTAATAATGTAATTACCATATACATTCCATTTACCGAATGCATAATTAACATTCATAATTAAATGTTATTTTTCAAAAATTGTAATTGTTAGTGGTATTTTTTATCCACTTAATGCAA